AAAGTGACCCGAGTCGGCCCAGCACTCGTTCATGAGCTGTCCAGAGAGTGCTGAGCTGGCATTGACCCGGCCACACATGATGCTCGTGGTCCATGTTATTCATAATCCAGTCCTTTGACTTCAGTTTACACATTTAATTTTGCATCGTTTTGAGTTTCTGGACAGATGAGGAACTTTTTACTATTTTTAACCTTGACTATAAAAACTGTCTTTGCATTGATTCGCTGAGCTGCAGCATCAGAGCGCGGACAGCGCAGCGTGCTTTCTGTCTGCGATGTCAGAGTAACTCTGAGGGAGTCGGGTACTCGTGTGAGTACTCGAGTAAAATCAGTCTGAGGAGGATGCGTGGCGGTGCCGTTTGTCCCGGCTCTCCTCCTGCGAGCTTCGCTGTCGTCTCGCACCAGAATGAAAACAGACGGTTTATTTTAGTCTCTCCCTGATGACACTTCCAGCTCGCAGTCTTTCATCTTACAGCGTGGGTGCAGTGAAACTCGAAAACAAGAAGCGGACGATTTTCTTTTTGCAAATTCAGACTCAGCAGGGTGGAAATGTTTGCATGTGGAGCTGCGAGTTCGACAGCTGTTCTCAAAGCTAATGAGGGTTCCAGCTTCAATCGAGCCCTCGCCCTCTGCCTCTCTGATTGGCTGAGCACAAACCAGGCCGCCCCCACCTTATTTGTTTTTCAAAGAGATGAGATTTAAAGTTGGCCAGTCAAACGAAACCTCCCTGTTAAATCGTTCACGTGGAAATGAGCCACCTAAATAAAGATGCTCATAAATAACTTCAGATTAAAGTAATTAAAGCGTTCCCTCATTTTCACGTCCACATGGAAAAAAGCCGTGTAAAGGCCGACCTTTGAGAAATGGCGGCGCAGCTTCATTGTTTTGGTGTCAGCCTTAACTCTGCTGCCAGAGGCGCTGCTTCCTCTGCTTTTCAGAGGAAAAGTTTCAAAGTCGTGCAGGTGAGCGTGGACAGGAAGCCGGAAGCTGAAGGCCGAGCCTTTCCGCTGCACTGATTTTCAGCGGCGCTCTCTTTCCACCGGAGGCCTCAGCTCCACCTTGGTGTGTGGAAACAGGAAGAGGACACCAACCGCAGCGCGGTGCTCTCATAACACCAGTGTCTGCTCAGACGGCTGACGAGCCACAGAGTTCTTCTCCATCGTAGCCATTAAAGAGAAACCTCAACATGACGAGTCTGCCCGCAAAGAAACACCAGACAGGAACAGCAGCTGAACTTTCACAATAAGAGCACGTTGTCACAGGGAAGCGTGGTGAGAGGCATTTGAAGCCCACGCTTCAACAGTCAGTGATCAGAGGTGACCCGTTCCCATCTGTTTTATTCCTGCTACTTATGAGGGGCAGCCAATCAGGAAGAACTGTAATGGCGGTCCGAGTGTGTCTGTTTTCTCTGTGTGGTCTTTGTCGTTTAAATGAAGCTGAACAAAAGAACAGAGGAGCTGAAAAAAACGTCGATATGAGAGAAGCGCTGAGGCTGAACTTGAGATCGGACTCTGGCGCAGCCGCCATGATGTCACCCAAAGGTTTCAGGCTTCACATCTTGATGCAAGCATTTTAGCCACCGCCTCGCCATCAGCGTCGGCTTCCTGTTTAGCACTCAGGCCTGAAAGGCTGATGGCGTCGCCCTGCTGTCAGGCAGCGACTGTGACAACGTGAGAACGAGGTAATGTAAGATTGTCACGGTCGCTCCACAGACGCATCTACTGTGTGTTTGATGAGTTTGAATCTCAGTGATCGGGAACGTTTGTGAACATCACCTTTCACTCCGGTACCACAGCGAGTGCCCGCCAGCTGTGGTGCGTTTAAATACGAGTACGAGCAGTCGAGCCTCGTTAGCCTCAGAATGATGGACTTATTTGTTCCCGCTAAACGATGAATTAAAACGAGATACGGCCCCAAACTCAAAGCGTGCACCGCACCGTGTCTGCAGACACGCCTCACACCCGCAACAAGTCACACAAAGTCTGAAGTCTGAACTTGGTTTTATCGAAGCTAC